TATTGATACCGCGGAAGATTTCTTCTAGATATTTAGTTGATCCCGATTAGCAAATTCCCCAACATCAGTCATCAGATAGTTTGGAGACATATCGTCATCGTCGTCATCGAATGACGGATTTTAATAACGCGGCTTATCAAAAACTCAAGCAAGTTTCCTTCTTTTCTTATGGTATTAAAAAAATTCTTAATTGTATAAAAAAGATTAAATAAAAAAAAATTCTACAAACGATATTCTAAGAAATTAAGTAGAGCATAAGAAAAACGATATCAAAATCGTTCGGTTTCCGCAGAGAAGATTTATATCTCGAATTTGTCGAATTTCAATGTTGAACGATTCATAGATGGACAGGATGCATCGTGAGCGACAGCAACATGTCGTTAAGAAACGCTGCGCGCCACGTTTGCTGGGAAGGGCATGTTTGCCCACCATAAAAGTGACTGCGGCGGAAGGTTTCTTCTTTTTCGGCCTTTTTTGGCCGACGGTCGCCTTATTTAAGCAACAACAGCGGGGAGAAAAGAGATCCGTCACGTTCAAAGACACCGGCGCAGTCTTTTGGGAAAATCGCGTCCAACGGTGTTAAGACCTATGAAGTCGCGCTTTTCCATCTGTTTCTATCGCGGAAACGTGGCGATCAGTTTTTGTCAGCTCCCGAAATAGTGCTGACACTAGCGCTGATGTTAGAACGTTATCGGTGCGGTTGGAGAAAACGTCTCGGAAGACGGATTCTCTATGAGGTAAGTTCCCTTTGATGATGAAATTGGAATGTTCCCGTTCTACGGTTTTTCTTGGATTCCTATTGATTCCGATAGCTCGGGACTTCGTGTGAACGCGAGGCTTGGAATCATAAGTTTGTTTTTTGTTCTTACATTAATAGACTGCACTGAGATCCTACAACAGAGCCTGGTCATGATGAGATGATAAACATTTGATTGGCCTATTGTTTTTGTCAACTTTAGTAAATTGGAATGAATAAAATAGTATAAGGTAGAATGAAATAGCAAATTTTTAACAAAATTGCTCGTCAATGTGGTCAAAAGCTCTGTAGAGAGGGGGGGGGGAGAGATTCTAGACTGTATTAGAACTTTCTTGCTTTAACTAAATATCATCGAACATATATATCTACCTTAAGTTTTAAAAGTATACTAATTCAATCATATAGCTTATTGCATTGCATGCGACGACGAAGAAATCACTTAATACAATGTATAAGTTTATGAACGTACAGTCTATATTATTGTATTGTGAACTCTTAATCCTATCTAATGAATTCTTAATCCTTTCGCTCTCAACAAACAATTTTATAATTATCGTTGATGTAGAATATATTTACTATACAACTTTATTATTGCTATTAATGAACATGTTCTTAATGAACATGGTACAAGTCTTTTAATATTTGTGAGAAAAAATGAGAAAAATAATAAAAAAAGAAAAAAAATTAATATTTTTCATAATGAAAAGGCTTTTGGATGATAAAGTTTTGTCTTTTTAATGTTTCTCGTATTAATTATAAAAGAATGAATTAATTAAGCTGTATTTTAATTGTTACGAGAAGCATTATACTTATATTACCCATAATATTAAATTTCACGAAACGATAGTCAAAAAACTGCAAGACAATTTAATAAAACTTTATCGCGATTTTCGCTCGATTTTCAAGAAGTGATCTTGTGATTGAATTTCGTCAAAAGGTCTTTAGTTATTGAGATCGAACAAAATAGCACGAAAGGAATTTTTCTTTAGTGAACGTCGCGAGCGGAATGCACATTAAGCCGACGACGAATGCATGCACGAGGTGCAACAAGAGTCGCTCAACGACGTCGCTGACAGCCTCCGTTTTGGTGTTTAGTGTTCGTGTTGCTGAAGCGATATTCCATCAAGGAAGAAGATAAGCCTCGCGCGTATAGTAAAAAATATTTTGATTCTTTTCAGTCAAAAATAGGAAATTCATACATTTGCGAAAACTTAATAAATAAAAATACACATTAAACAACAGTAAATTTTAGAACTTTGTCTTTTCTGTATTCAATTAATTTAAAATTGTAGTAAAAAATGTCTTTTTTTTTATTAATTAATTAAATATCATTAATATGGATAATAGGAAAAATATCTTCAAGAAGCAATTCTTCTTTAATAGTTAAAATCTTAAATAGTTTAAAAACCGAATTGCTAGAGAGAATTTAACAAATAAAAATTATAATTTTCTCATTTGAAATTTAAATTAAAGATTTTAGATAAAACAATAATGATACATTATAATTATATGTAAAATTATCTCACTGTTTCTAGTAGCAATTTACTTTATTTTAATGTGTAAATTTGAAAATGATAAATTCTCAGTTATATTTTCCTTTATATTTTGGTCGAAAAATCGTATTGACAAGCAAACTTTTAAGAACAATTATTTAGTCACATGGAAAAAATGATTTTGCTGAAGTATCTAAAAATTTAGCTATACAGATTTGAAAATAATTTTGTTGGATCATCAAAATAATTACGTGGGAATCTCTAGCATGATAATTATAAACATTCTAGCAATCAGTTTGAGAATTCTACATATTTATTTTGATGGGCTAACGAAATTTTCAGATCTATATCTAGCTATATTTTTAGATACTTCAGCTAAATCATTCTTTCAATGTATGTATCAAATTAAACGAGTGGTACTATAATAAAAATGATGAGAAGTGCAAGGAGATCAAGGAAAGGCTCAAGATTTGCTCTCTTATAGTTCAAGTACCAACACTCATATCAAGCTTCATGTTGTGGAGAACGTACAAAGATACTCCAAGTATCGCACACGCGTGTTCAAGACAATTGTACATAAAATTCTTTAATCTCAAGTAAACCGATAAATTTAATAAATTTTATTCTATATATTGAAGCTATATAATTCGCTGAAAACGAACTAAATGTTTTTCATAAATATTGTCATAAATATTGGTAAAAAGAAATTGAATTTGAGATTGAATTTGACCACACAGAATTTGCTGTGCAATGCTGTCGGCAGAATATTGGCAGAAGATAGTTAAGTTCCTCGAGAAAATATAACAAAATATACCAACACAATTTGATTAGCAAAAATTATGGAAGCTGCGCTTGCTAGTAATATATTTTTAGTAATATATATGTCCTGCTTGCAAGCTTTGCAGTTCTTTAACAGAAGAACTTAATGTGGATGCACACAATCGATGCCATCTTGCAATTTTCTGTTCGAATCTGTCAATAATGACAGACACTGCTTGTCAGTTCACTTGTATGTCAAAATGCTCGTAGCGTATATTGAACTTCAAGTAGAGAGGATGTAAGCTAAACTATGATCACATTGTAGGCGTGTATTTATGAATGAATTTTTGAAACTGATCTAAAAAAAATTAAGATGACTAAATTATATCGAAAAAATTACCAAAGCGAAAACAGAAAGAAAAGAATGAAGAAAGAAAATGAGAAGTAAACGAAGAATAGTAGAGGATGCATTCCATAGGAGGGAATTTGTTCTAAAATAATAAACTGGTCCACAATATGTGGGAAGATTAGATCCAGAGCAATAAACTAACGATTTATACTATGTGGACATTTAGATAAAAAAAAGATTATTGTAGATGTTTAGATATTAAAAAAAAATGTTCTAAAAAGATACAAAAGATTACGTAACGATAAGCAAGGGTGTTATGTCAACATTAAAAAATAACATATCCCAATTGACACAAACTAAATGTATAATATATGGTATTCAATAGATGTAGTATATTACATACTACATATTAATTAAAATCGATTAAAATAATTTCTCTACGGCAGTATAATTTGATCGGCAGAAATTATGGAAATTTATCAGTGATCTGAAAAGTACATCCTAAAAGAATAATTACCTTAATAATTATTAACCTAGCAAAGAGAGAGAATAGATTAAAATGGATTGAAATTTTTTTCTATCCGAATGTGTATTTTAAATAACGAATACTTTTTTTGGATTCAATTAGATTCAATTGGATGCAATTGGATTGAAAAACTGCATTTCCTATTCAAAATTTTGAATTAAATAGTATTCACAATGCACAGAAAAAGCTAATATTATTTTTAGATTGAAAGGCATAGAGATATGCTCCATGTAATTCCTATAAATGAATAAAAATGCATTCAGGATTGAAAAGCATTCATTTTAACATTGAATCAATATTTCTGAAAATCTGAATCCATTTCAATTCATTTCAATCTATTCTTGTTTGCTGGGAAACATTTATTATAATTAGTCGAAATTTATTTAAAATAATTTTTTTATAAAATAATTATATCTTACTTCTAATTATAATTATATCTAATGATAATAATAATATAATTAATCTAATTATAATTATACTTCTTACATAAAACAAAGGCAATTAATTTATAAGAATTGCACTATCGCATAACAATTACAAAATTTGATGAATATATAAAACGAAAAAATATTAGAAAGCAAAATAGAATCATACAATAATATTAAGGAAACCATTGACCCATATCAAGAAAAATTAATCTTATGGATTTTAGATTAAATGTTTTATTAAAAGATGTTAACATAACCGATCGTTGGTAATAATAAATGTATATTAGACAGTATGATATACAAATTTATTGTACACTAATAATTATGAAGTATTATCTTAGCAAAGATAAAATTATACATTCTAGAAAATATTATATTTAAACTTATGAAATAAAAAAATTAAAAATAGTTACTGATAGCTACAGTTGCACGTTTTTTGATATGGTTTTAGCTAAGTTATATTTCAGTGGAAGAACTTTGTATGTCAATTATCACGTGTCCCATTTGCGGCATTTGAGACCAGTGGAATCACCACGATTTGAAAAGAGGAAAAAAAGACAATGAATAGATCAGTATTCAGTATCGTCAGAAAGGACGACAAGACGAGCCCTCTGACGGGAGTATCCACATAGACGTCGCCAACAAGTCTGAATCATAATGTTCTGAACAGGTCCCTCGTAGGCCTGAATGGCGGCGGTGGGCAGCAGTCGAGTCGACCTTCCGTCCATACTCTGGAGTGAAGTTTTTATCTTTCGGCTAAAGCAAGAAAAAAAATAGAAAGAGAAAGAAAAATGGAGCGTCTGCTGTTAAACCTGCTCGCGTCTGATAGTGCTACGATACAGGAGGTTCGTGCATTTTCAATATTCATCGTTTTCCCTTTGTCAAATCGGAGCCTGTTGAAGCACTGCGAACACGTGTTTTTCTTCCGTTCCATTGATTAGCTGCACTTTCAGTTTTACTGGAATAACACCGCTGAACACTCGCAAAGACACTTCTCACAGATTCACAGAATTCTCTTGGTCAGACCTTGATGTCGTGATTTTTAATTCTTCTGTTTTGATTATCTATTATTGTTATCATCCGTTGCAATATTAAACAGCCGGTAATTTGCTCGAAACGGTTTTGTACCAATATGTCTAATTTCAGGCAACTAAAGAACTCAAGAAAGTACTTCAGAATCCAGACAGTGTGCCAGCTTTATGCCAACTTATTGTAACATCATCGAATCCAGAGGTTTGTAATTTCTTGTAGAATTAAGTCGATTCACTCTTTATACTTTGAGCAAGAAATGTAAATGGAGAATAAATTGTTTTAGGTCCGGCAATATGCGACTCTCATTCTTAGAAGACGTTACACTAAAGGAAAATACTGGACAAAATTATCCATACCTGTACGAACCGAATTTAAGAAAATTATATTACAGGTGAGAAATTTTTATAATACATTTGATGATTTAAGTTATAAAATTTCATATCATTAAGTTTACCCAATATTTCCGTTATACATTTTATATTTCCTGGTATACATGTTCTTAGATAAATCTATCAAAGTTGTATTACTTCTCAAACAAAGAAATAAATGAATGTAAGTTTTAAAGTTCGATTCTAGAAAGTGGCTACGTTTACACTGAGAGATCTATTCTGCGGCCTGACTTATTTTTTAATCGTCATCAAAAAATTAGACCTGACCATAGAGAAGATAGATCATCTATCAACTGTACTTTATACCAAGAAGCCTAAATAATTGAAGGTCGAATTTGAGATATAGGCTGCAGCCTAAATGCACAGTGTAAACGAAGTTTACAGAAGTCAATAATTTATTAAACAAAAGACAAATATCACGATAGAAATTTTACAGTTTAAGTAATATTTATGATTATACACTTTAATTTCATTATCTATGATATCTTTTTTAGGCTTTAGAACATGAATCAGCAAACTTGGTTAGAAATAGCATAGCTCAATTAATAGGTGTCATTGTTAAACATGAATTACCTACAAATAGTTGGCCAGAAATTATACATTATGTGCAACAGTTAATTACTAATGAAAGGTTGGAGAATAAAGAAGTAAGCAAAAAATTAAACTTAACTTAATATCAACTTTTTTTTTCAAAGTGATATTAAATACATGTTTAATATCAATTAAGTCATATGCAACCAAGAAAGGTTTCATTTAATTTTGAGATTTATTTAAAGAAGATATTCAAGAATCTGTCCATTATTTTATTATGCGAAATATTTGATTTTAGCTAGGCCTTTATACTTTATCAATTATGACAGACGTTACTCCGGATGCCTATACCTCGCATGCCAGATCTCTAGTGATACTTCTCGCTCAAACGTTGAGCAGTCTTCAGAGTTTAGGAAACCCTGCCGCTTTTTATATTTTGGAAACATTGCGACATCTTATTCCTGTAGCTAAACACGACGAAACGGTTAGTATTTTACGCGGTGTTTTTGTCAAACTTTTATAATCTTATTGTATTTATATATACATTAGTCAGTGTTTACAGTTATTTATGTTTTATATATTAGTTTATTTATATGTAATATATATATATATATATATATCCGTTCCCGAAACGGATTACAATCATTAATTCATGCATTTTATTTAAAACTTTTTTTAACTCTTGAATTACCTCTCTTATAAAAACTGAGGTAAATCTCTCAGGAAACCTCTTGTAAACTGGATATATGGGGTGAAGGTCGGGATCGAACTCGGGACCTGCCGATTACGAGTCAGTCGCTCCTATACGTAGCCACTCGTCACCCCAAAGTTGATTATTGTAAAATATCGTTGTTGACAAATATATCATTTCAGACACTACATACTTATGCTACAATGATGCCGCTAATAATGACTACAATTCAGGCTTTTACCGAAACTGAACACAATAATTTTGCTATCCAAAGTTTTGAATTATTGGATGAATTATGCGAGAATATGATTGTTGTAATAACACCCCATGTAAAATCTCTTGTCCATATGTGCCTTACGATCATTGCTAATAAATCTACAGACGAACTCCTGAAAGTTAGGGTGATCAGTTTTATCGGCTGGTTAGCAAGATTAAAGAAAAAGGCTCTCGTAAAGCACAAATTAGTGGAACCTATTGTCGGTGAGCGATCTATTTCAGTAATTAACCCATGTTAGCAGGACGACTCAATAATCTCAAGATTTGCAGATATGTTATTCGCAGTTATGATGAGTAAGCCAGAGGAAGACGATGATTGTTCAAATACAGATAATGAAAATACTGTTTTAACAAGCGCTACTCAAACTTTAGACTTGCTCGCGATGCACTTGCCGCCGGAAAAGTTAATTCCACATTTGGTAAGCTTCAGAATTTTTTTTTATTACATCAGATTTATTGATTATAATATATATTATTATATACAATTTGATTATAATTTAATTATATAATCTGCTTTTTTTGTAATACAGTTTTACATCTTGAATTTCTTATTTCATAGTGTTAGAAATAAAATTATTGTGACAGAAAATTTCTATTGTAGAATTATATCGTATAACACTTTGACATTTCATTTCTATTGAGATTGATTGATATTACAATTTATGAATTTATGAATGCGTTTTTATCTCCACAAATTGTTTGATTATTTTGCTTCGATCTTCGATCTTATTCTCTCCATCAAATTTATGAAAACTATATTAAAGTGAAGAAATATTAATTTCGTAGTTGCGACATATCGAACCTGGACTTCGAAGCACAGATGATTACGTAAAGAAGACGTCGTACGTGGTCATAGCTGTCTTAGCAGAAGGTTGCGCTGAATATATTCGTTCAAACTATCTTGAATTCTTTCTGCGATGTATCTGCGAAGGAATCTCCTATCCTTCGCCCGTTGTGCGCAATGCCGCGCTTTATGCTTTAGGACAATACTCCGAACATCTGCAACCGGAGATATCACAATACTCATCCGAATTGCTGCCCGTATTATTTGAATATCTCGGCCAAATATGCTCGTACATCAAACAAGAGAAGAAAGAACCGCATGCAGTCGGCCGTATGTTCTACGCTCTTGAAATGTTTTGTGAAAATTTGAACGAGAGGATCCTACCGTACTTGCCCAAATTAATGGAGAGACTATTCGATATCCTAAACGCGGATACATCGCCGCACGTGAAGGAGCTTACTCTGAGCGCAGTTGGCGCTGCTGCTTGTGCCAGCGAGGAGCATATGTTACCGTATTTCGAAACAATTATAAATATTCTTAATAATTATCTTACTACAGAGCCGAGCGAGGAAAACATGTGTCTTCAAGTTCAAGCAGTAGGTTAGTGAGAATCACTTTATTCAATTAGTTACTTTACAATTAGTTACTGCATTATAATCTATAATTATATTTTTTATATTTTATATCTCTAATATTTTAGATACTCTCGGAGTAGTAGCCAGATCAATAGGTGAGAAACATTTCGCCCCATTAGCAGCTACATCACTCGATCTTGGAATAAAACTACTGAGAAATACGGTCGATCCAGACTTACGGAAATCTCTTTATGGATTGTTCGCCGCTATTAGCACAATAATGAAGAAAGAGATGGCTGTGACTTTGCCTGAAATCGTCGAGTACATGATAATGAGTATACGGAGTGCAGATGGAATTTTAGTAATTATTGTACAAATTATGAAGTTGAAAAACTTATGGAAATGATATAAATGTGACATTGTCATTACAGATGCATTTTAAGGACGATGAAGCTAACGCTCTTACAGTTTACGATGATCTCAGCGATACCGAGAATGAAAGAGAAGATGAAGAAGAAGACATTGAATGCACTGATAACGAAGATGATAATGATGAAGAAATCGACGGTTATAGTGTTGAAAATGCCTATATGGAAGAGAAAGAAGAAAGCGTGATGGCGCTGAAGGAGATTGCGGAACACACAGAGTAAGCTTTCCTTTTTTCGAGTTTTTAATTAATAACTGGTTTAATTATGTTTAAAAATATTGTTGCAGAGAAGCGTTCATGCCGTACCTCGAAAGATCTTTCGAAGAGATTTTTAAATTGATAAATTATCCTCAAGAAGATATACGGAAAGCGAGTATAGAGGCTCTATTACAGTTTTGCATTAACTTATCGAAAATCAATACTGACGAAGGAAAAAAAGCACTATTGAAGGCTCTCTCCATGTTCATCCCGAAATTGTCAGAGCTCATAAGATTAGACGAAGAGCCGACGGTTGCCATTTGTGGTTTGGAGGCATATCAAACACTTTTAAGACAGGTTAAATCAGATGTTATCGCCGGCATAGGTCATAAAGAAGCTATAGTAAATTGTGTGATGGATGTGATGAAAGGTATTTGCGTTGCGTATTTTATTTACGTTTGTTATATTAATAAATCAACACGCAAATCAGAATTATAATTTTTATCGAAGACAAAACAGCATGTCAAGATCAGGAAGAGATCGAAGGCATTGATATCGAAGCAGAGCAAGACGGATTACTGATAGAATGCGCGGGGACTGTATTTTCTCATTTGGGAAGAGTACTCTCGGCAGAAGATTTTGCACTCTATTTTCAAACCATGTTGCCTTTCTTTTTAAAAAGACTGGTACTATTGATTTTTATACTGCATTTTTTGAAAAATTTTCGATTTTAATTTTAACTTTAACTAGCAAAATGCTTTCAGAAAATGGACAATTCGGAGGCGCAGAGATCCTTTGCTGTTGGAACAATATCTGAATGTTTATCCGGGCTTAAACATATGACAGCTGCGTTTGTTTCACAATTACTTCCGACTTTTCTACAAACTGGAGCCCAAGATCCTTGCAGCGAAGTTCGTAGTAATTGTTTCTTTGGAATCGGAGAACTTGCCTTGTATGGAAAAGAAGCAGTTTATCCGTATCCTTTTGTTTTTATAATGATTGAGTATTTATCATTCCAAATTAATTAATTATCTTTCCAAATTTAACAATAATTTGTCATTCAATAATATGTTGTATTAAATACTATACAAATTTAGTATTAAAAGATATTTTAGATATTTATTAAAAGATATTTTAAAATATTGGAAAATATTTTTAATTTTCTCATAATTATTTTTTTATGATTAAGATATTAAAAATATACATTATATATAAAAAATTTTATATCATTTTATTTTATAAAGAAATGCAATTATTTTATAGTTACTTCGCAAATTTTCATGAAAATAATTATAAAAATTTTTTATTGATATTCCTTAACAATTATTACACAGACATTATCCTAATATTCTTCAAACTTTGTCGTGTGCTATTGCAAAAGAAACAGATGCAGCTGCACGTGATAACGTGGTTGGGGCAATTGCACGACTTATTATCACAAATTATTCGAATTTGCCACTTGAACAAGTATTTCCAGTTTTCGTTGAACAGTTACCTTTGAAGGCTGACTTTCTAGAGCATAAAGCCGTGTTTCAAAGTATTCTTACGTTATATCAAGCTGGAGTCACTCTTTTGCAGTCTTACATTCATACGTTGTTGAAAGTTGCAGTTATCATATTACATGAAGAAAAGGCTCTTGACATTGGTGAGATTTTAATTTAATTAATTAGCATTTTGATGAGAATTTTAAGAATTTTTCAAGAGATTTTTTAAAATTAAAAATATGATTTTTATTTTTTTTAACCTGTAAATTTCGTAACAAGTAATTTGAGAATAATGCATGTATGTTATTTTTACATATTTTTATTTGAAAAATATATGAAAATAATTGTTTTTTCTTTGAAGTATCTTTCGACTTGATAAAGATTAAAATACATTTTTCCTTTTTACAGAAACGCAAAATCTCATTATGGAGTTTATCAAATCTGTTCAACGAGATTTTGTAAACGATTGGAATGCTCTTTTCACTGAGCTCCCTCCAGAAGTTGTCACAAATATTCAACGCATATTTTCCTAATGTAAACGATTAGTTTTGCATGTCATTTTATCATTTTTGAACATCTAAAATGTTGTTTATTGATTCGCATGTTGATACGCTTGAAACGGCTTTTTTTAAGTACCTTTTTAAAGTAGATTTTTTGCCGTTTTTTTTTGCAACTCGAATGCTATTGGCTAAATAGGATACGAGGTGAGAATAACTGCAATCAATTAAATAATTGTTTCTACCAGCTTTATAGACAAATACTCATACGGTTTTTTTTTCTTTTTTGTTTATTCGTTACGATATGCAGCTTTATAAAATATTTGTTTGTGACTTTTATTTGATAAGTGAATAATTTATATGATCTTACAATTAAATAAGCATTTGTTATCTTTATAACGCATGCATCGAGCAATTCTTCCTCTACTTTCTTGCTATGAATAGACAGTCTATAATCGTTGTAAACGTTGTACAGTAAAATGAGAAAGGAAAGAAAAGTTTAGTGAGAGAAGAACCTAGAAGAACCTAGAATAGATTTCTGATAGAATAGACTTCTGATTTATATGGAATAATTAGGGAATCTCACGTGATTTCCTCTTGCGTCGTTAGATTTTTTTTAGACTTTCGCTCACGGAATTATTGGAGCTGTGTAGATTTATAAAGTCCAGTGAGCGTATAGATAAAAGATTTGGTTGACATGCAGAAGCAATGTAAATTTGCTTAATGAAAATACAAGCAAAACTCTGCCTCTGACATAGTCATTGTTATCAATGAGCAGAAAGTAACTCGTATTTCTTTCTGTCTGCAATCAAAAACGTAAAATAGCGTAAATAAATGTATTATGTGACTAATAAAAGTGTTGTATGTGCTTTTTTATAAATCTTTCTTGCGATGTTTTTAAACGTATCTTAAAATAGCATTTCCTCTGTTTTCATTCTGTCGAAATATGAATCGCGGCTAAAAATAATCTGTTAAATCTTATTTGTTTACTATCAAGTAAAGCAAAAAAATAATATAACTGTTGATGATGTAATACGCGCAACATAAAATACTTATATAAATTCCGTTATAAATCCGAAATTTATTTAAAATATGTATTTTTTATTTTATATTTTTTCTATTTTTATAATTTGTTATAGAATTTACGTGACATTTCCTTAAAAGATATTATTCGAATGATGTTTTTAGAATTGATATTATTTGAAGTATTGCGAAACTGTGAAAGAGTTAACACTTCTCGCTACTGATATGTCGCCGTAATTTTGCGACAGTCATTTAAGCAGGTACGATCGGTGGAACGAGGAAGACGAAAAATAAAATTTCTATTATAGGCACAGAGATTCTTGTGCGGCGATTCACTGATATCGGGCAAGCTGCTATCACTTTATCGAAAGACAGCAGAGATAAAGCTCCACGAGCCGCAATCGACATCTCAAAAATCCTCCGTCAAACGTAATCAGCTGCGGCTCCGAGCAACGTGTTCACGTGGAGTCGAACGACACGGTTTGCGCTTTCTCGCGATTCATCGCGAGAACTTAGTTGTCGTAGCTTATATATTAAGTTGCTAATAAAAATAGCTAAGTTGAGTTTACGCGCCGCAATGGTTCCCTCTTTTTTCTATCTTTCTTTCTCTTGTTTCGCACTGTGTGCACCGTATGCATTGTTTCTAGTAAACGTGATTGATCGGGTCACAATAGCGGTACGCGAGTCGTTCTTTTATGGAAAACTTTGAATGCGATAGAACGACGCTAGTTTGTGATATTCCTCGGGTTTTTCGCGTTCAATAAAGCTATGGAATGCTGATATCGAAGACAAATGTGACAAATATGTTTAATTGGGTAAGCCTTGACCAAATCATTTACGAATACATGATCAGGAGCGTGCAACGCTGATTCAAAAGTAATGTTCTAAAAAAAGGTGTGTTT